CTGATTTACATAATCAGTCCCCATTAATTTAATTAGTCTCCTTTGATCACTAAATCAATTCAAAATTAATTTTTGATCAATACTAATTAGATAACATGATTTCATATTAATATATTAGAACTTATAATATATTAATAAGTCATAAATAACCTCTTCTCAAAAGTCCATCCTATCAAATTGCTCTGGTGAAGGCAACCCAAATAGACCATGCTACTTTCGGGTCAAATACATACAAATTATAGTTATGGGCTTAGACACAAAATCCAATAGTCTCCCACTTGGATAAGTCTAATAACTATTATTGCAAGTACGATTCCAAAATCCCAACTAGCAATGGTAACTCTTAAAAGCCGTTGTCGAACTCTAAGCTAGTCAATGACGCGCCTATTAGATAAGGGATTATATTTTCCTCCATTCTAGATATTGTATGGATTGAGACATGTATTTTAATCATTCTCTATGCCCATATGTTGTTTCCCGATTTCTGATTTATGAAGACTGACTAATTGAACAAATCAAATCAGTCAAGGGTTGGCCAAGCGCTTAGGATTGTCATCACTAAATCATCGAGGGGCCCACATATATTGCTTTTATCCCTCTAAGGGTAAAAGGAATGGATAAACTTCAACTCAAATTCTTGCTTGTATTTACTCATCAAATCACACACAACAAAATGTTTTATAACACCAAGTTACTAGTGCGTTTACATATGTCAATATGCAACCGACTTGTAAATTACAACTCACATGTCTTGGCTTTAAGAATATAAGATATTATCGTCTCACTAATCACTCGTGATAAAATCCATGAAGTGATTTAGATAAGCATTGGTTTAATCCAATACTCGAATCTTATTCCAGGAGTACTAATGAACACTGCAACAAACTTGTGTCATGTCTAAAACACTCACACAATCTATAGTCAAGTTCATGATAGTCTTTCCTCAATACCTACTTCCAAAGTATGATCGACCGTGGATAGTTTGAATAACCTAGTTATTCGGGAAGTCAAAAAATGCAAAGTGAAACACAAGAATAATCGAATCCAATATGGTCCTAGAACTTTTGAATATAAATAAAACACCTTTTATTTAGTCACCATATTGATTACACATTATTCATTGTATAATGTTTCAATTAATCAAGTTAGTACTTGAATTAAAAAAATAGTTATCCCATGCTCCAAGCATGCACACTATGTTTGCCTATGGTCCTTTCTTTGTGAAATAGACAATTAAACACATCTTCAATGAAACTCATTTCACAATTCCAAATCCTTACCGTAAATGTAAGAATACCAAATTCTTGCCATTTTCTATAATCTGTTAGATTCTAAACTTATATGCAATGATCCTCTTGTAATGACTATGCACAAAAGTCACAGAGACTTGGAAACATACATTACAAAGTATTCTAATGGAGAGCAATTCCATGGAAACGAAGTCTCACATTCAAAGTCAATTCCTTTGAACATCCTTCTTGCATTAAGTTTTCTAATCTTACACAGATTTAAAGAATAACTTTCACTTATGGAAAAATTTCCATATTCCCATTTTAACTATCACTTCTGAACAAGAGTTGCCTCTTCTCATAGTATGCCAACATAGTCCTTCCAAAACTTACACTATACTTCCAACTGTCCATAAGCAACCAATCTTTGGTAAACCTCAAATTGTCCTCGACAATTGCTTAACCATTTTAGTCATATCCAGTTCTGGTCCATTTTCCCTCTTAATGCCCTAGGCATTTGGAAAATTCAGAACACATAAATATTATTGCATATGCAATCAACCCTATACCCGAAGCATATGGGATACGATCCATAATGTCTCACATAAAAACATGATACTTTACCAGTCTCTTGCTATAATATATCCATATATAGAATTTCCTTATGTCGAATCTTTTCAACATAACATTCATATATATCTTTTTACTAAACTTGATTAAAATCTCAATCTAAGCTTTTAGAAATGAAATGAAGTATGAGTTCCTCTCTTTTAATTATAGCAAAACAAATTTTCAAACCCTACAACTTTGTGATTTGAAACTTTCGTTTTCTATAATTAACATTGCTAACTCGCAACACTTACCATAATAATTATGCTCACACTAGCATAATAATTATTATATTACTAGCATAACACTTATGCTCCCACTAGCTTTGACATGTACTCATAAATCACTTGGACTTCTAGAAATCAATACTTATTTACTTCCTTGCTAAAGTTCAGATTTCTGATACGAGATGCTTCGATAAGACTTTATCTAGGCTTCTCAAACTCACACACCTTTCCTTAGATAGCTCACATGTGTGTCTACACAATTTTAGAACTTACAGCAATAAGTCTCAAATGTTTAGACCTTTTGCCATTTCTCACAATTCGAACTATGAAGAGGAATGTCGTAATCATAATCGAATTTCAGAATGAAAATATCACAAATGCTATATCCTTAAAGTCTACTTAGTGAAAGCATTTCCTCATAATCATTTTCATGAAGCGTAGAGAAACCTTATGACACTTACATTTTATGGTGTATGTGTTCATATGCATGTGAATTTTTCATAACCATAATCATAAGACAAGATTAGTGACAAATCCAACTCATATGCACTGAACATGTTTAATCTTAATTTCTTGCCACCTGGCAGCACAAGGACCTACCATTGCTTCCAAGTAGTT